CCCTTGCATAGAGATATGATATTTCGATTAATGTACCGTGGAGCAGCATATGCTGATAGTCTTCAGTACCAACGGTGCATTGATCTCTGGAGATATGCTCTAGATTTACGTATACAAAAAGACAGTCTTTTGCATGGAGAAGTGAGCTTTGCAGCTCAAGCATTGGTTGGTGTCTTCCTTGATTTGCACGAAAAGCATAATGCTGGTTTGTTACGTGAACAGGTACAATTCACTGATGTGTTTGAATCTATTAAACTCTTAGTGTATAGATTTGAATCATCTAAATGTCTTTTAAATGCAAGACCTATTTTTAAGAAACACCAGGACAATTTTGACAAAATATTAAAGGTCTTGACACATTTATTTTATGTACTATATGTCATTCCGAAAACTCCACAAGAAGTTCATGACATGAAGCAAATAATAAGGGATGTGCTGAAAATTGAACCTCGTACTACTAGTGGTGATACCCTTTTGCATCTTGTTTCCTCTAAATCTAATACAATGAAAACAAGTACTTTTCTTGAAGATCCGCATGCAGCTATATTTCCTGATGAGGGACTGGCAGAACTGTTGTTACAATGTGGTGCAAATGTGGAAGCTGTGAATTTTAACTTGAGCACTCCTTTGCATATAGCTGCCCTTCCTTTAAATTATCATCCTGCAGTTATAGAAGTCCTGTTACGGTATGGAGCTCATATCGATCGCAGGAATGGTAGTGGTAATCATCCTCATGATATGCTACAAAATATAACAGAATGTACTATAAACCATCTGCAGTATATAACTTTAAAATGTCTAGCTGCTCGAAAAGTAATAGAAAAGCAAATTATTTATGTTGGTGAAGTTCCTGTTGACTTAGAAGGATTTATTAGAATACATTGAATGAATTCTTGTATTGGCTCAATTTTTTTTTTAAATCAAACGTGTTCACATAAGGTTTAAGTACAAAATGAAAAGTTGTAAATGTGTGCAGTCAAATTTATGTTGCCATTCCCTTATTACATACTAGGTAAAATTTTCTCAAAAGTAAGTAACAAATCATTATATTAAATGCGACTAAAAATAATTCGTAAATAATATATTCTAAGTGTTATTTTACCAAATGTTGCATGTGCTAAAATGTGAAACATGCTTTTAAAGCATTTTTAGCTGATACATATTTACCTGTGTTTAGAATATATTAGATTTTTATTTTAATAACTAGGAAATTATTGTCAAATATTTTTTTAGTGTTCTTAGCTTGCTGTATTGAAATTGTGATTAATAACTTGTTTATTGACATTGTGCTTACATTTAAAAAATTGGATCTTGTATACATGTCTTTTCATGGCAATTAATCAGCACATTCTAAGGGATTATCTGACTATGGCAAAGCACACTAGAGCTACTTCCCTTAGAGAAGAAATGTCTTTGTGGAGGACTTTCTAAGGGAAACTGAACTGTAGTCATGTTACTTCATGGGGACAAAACGACTATGCAGCCAGACAGTTCGTTGGAATTTGAACATAAGTCAAACTGCCCACTTTCAGGCCACTCATTAGTCATTACTGTCTAATAAATTCTGGTCAAATCATATTTTTTCTCCCACAATGACCAAATATTTTGTTAATTGCATTAATTCTTTAGTCTATAAGAAATTATCATTTGTGAAACAGAGTGAGAAATTATATTTAATGAAGGAATCTTTTATCATACATGATTTTTAAGTAAAATTTATATAATTATTATAACTAAATTTTAGTCAATAATTCATATTTTACAGATTAACATAACTTTTGTATGCTGTTTATCATGAAGAAGTAAGTTTTATCTAAAGCAGTGCAGTTTATAGTTTTTTTAACAAGTTAAAAAGCTGTTTATTGTCTGAAAAGCTTTATGGTAATGGTAAGGGAAATTGGAAACATATAATTGCTATAAAGAATGAAAATACCCAAGGTGGGCTTGTGAAAGAAGATAATTGTACATTTTTAAGCTTTTGGAAATGAATTTAAATCTCTTTGCTATTCTGTAAGTGTTGTTGTTTATTATTCTTTTATGTAATATATTTTATTTTTATGACGAGGCATATTTTATGTAGGTGCCAAAATTGAAAATTATAATGCATAGATTTTAGTTTGCTGCAATGGAATTTTATTATACATGAAATTATGAATACAATATAAATTTTACAGTATTTCTTTGATTTATGTATTGTAGTACATATTACACCATTACTTGAAATACAGTGTTGTAAAAAATAATTTTAATAAAATCAGAACTCTTTGCCGGTCAACAACATTAAAGATCTCATAAACTGGAAAATGGTAGATATTGACGTAATAATTTATATTTGTGATATAATATTCAGGGTGTAAAATAAAGTTAAAAGCTTTCCCTCATTTTAAATAAATACATGACATATTTTAGACTAAAGTTGTAAGCAGAGATGAAAAGTGACATACCACCATGATATAGCTGTATAAATTTCTGTTATATTTTATATCAATTTAATGCTGCGTATTGATGCATATTTTGTTTAATTTGGTCTGTCTAATGAAAGTGGGAAAAATTGTATCATCATGTAATTGTTTCTTTCAGAATATGTGATGCTTAAAAATATTTGGCTAAAATGTACTGCTTGTTTATTCATTTTATTTTAATTCTTTCATATTTGTGTTAATGGGAGTAAACATAGCCTTAACTGCATTTCAACTTAGTTTTGTGTTTGAACATTTAATCTGTAAAAATACTGTGATTGTTAGAATTACAAGCATATTAGTCTTTATATTTAAGTAATAGATATATTTTATTAGAAGTGGCAGCAAAAATTGCGCAGAAAATTTTTAAAGTCTGCTAGTATGAACATCCGTTTAGAGAAAAATTAATTCATAAAAATTGGATCATAGCAATTAATTCATAGATATTGGAATAAATTAATAAAATAAGATAAATTTCTTTTATTTCAAGTTAATGATTTACTGCATTAAATATAACTGTTTAATAAACTATTTTTAATGTGACTGATTGAATGACTTTTGTGATCCTCTGTAAACAAAGTAATTGTTACTCAAAAACTAATTTACATAACTTATTTTTCCATCAGAGTATTAAATACGAAAATTTTGTAGTGTTATTTAAAAATGTTGTAATTGAAACTATGAAAGTATCTAGTTAAAAATTTAATTCTTAAACTTATCAGTATATGTATACAAATATGAAAAAGAAAATGTGCATTCAACTTGTTTATCCTACAAGAACCATTGAAGTTAATTTTGCTCATTAAAAGCCAACATTTTCCAATAAAAACACCGAATTTTATTTGCACTAGGCAGAAAACAGTCTCATGTAACTGAAGTGTATTGTACTTTGTTGTATATTTTGCTCTTCTGGTATTTAAATATTAAACACCAATGAAATATAAATAATCATCAGGATAGGTTTGAAAAATGCATATTTTTATGTTAATTTATGTATTTCAAATATTTTTACTGTGGGACTAGAATTGTATGCCTTTTAAATGCATTTTAATGCTTTTCTAATCTTATCTCTAAATTTCTTTGTATAGTAAATGATTTTCCATGTATTATCTTTTATATTGTTGATAATTTTTTTTTTTTTTTTTTTTTATGATGATGATCATAGTCATAAGGTTCCTTAAATACAAAAGCAAGCCTATACATGTTCTTTCAAATCAAAATTTTTAATTTTACTTTTTTAAATATATTGAAATAGTTTTATTGTAGATTCTTTGCTATTTTGTATTTTAAAATGGATGATTTAGAAACAGTTCTAGTACCTTTTCTTTTCTTTTCTTTCTTTTCTTTCTTTTTCTTTCTTTTTTTTTTTTTTTTTTTTTTTTTTTTTTTTTTTTTTTTGTTTGTTTGTTTACAAGCACAGAGTCTGAAAAGTTTAGAAATGTAAATAATATGACCATGTTATATTATACATGGTTAAAGATGCAAAGCTTAAGTATTTGATCATTGAAGGAAAGCATATTTAAGAGTGATATAATTTTGCTTAGTTTTTATTGTAGCCAAATAAGTCATTAATTTTTTTATTGTGATTGTTGTACTAAAATTTATGTGATAAGTCATGTTCACATGTGTAATAATATTCATTAAAAATCTATATACTCTTAAATATAATAAACCTTGTTTTTTTTAATAACAGTATTTTATGCATCATTTACACGTTGTAGATTATTAAAAATATTAAATGAATAATGTTGAAATTTGTTATATATATTATGTATCCACTGATATACCCTATATAGAATTAACATCATAACAATATTGTATAGCTTCTTGTGTAACAGATTTTCAATATTCATTGACATAACAAAATATTTCACTTGTTATATAGAAGAAACATATATTTTTCCCATATGCAAAAGAATATTTTTCTTCCCTGTAGATAAAACTCCTTTTCAATGCATAAATCATGTAATCTGTCACTTCTAGAAAAAGTACATACTATGCTAATACATGTTAAAATAAATGCAAAGTGTAAATTATAGTAAACACAGACATATCGAAAGATTCTCCTACTTTTTTTTTTTATGGCTAAAGGAAATAATTTAAAAATTATCACATATGTTCTTGAGAATCTAATTATAAAATTTTCATTTGTATAACCACCATCTGTGAATATGAGAAATTCATTATGAAAATAAAGATATGGATTATGGAAGGTTGATGCTATGATTAGGTAAACCTAGGCAGTCATCTAAGAGCATCAAGATATTCATTTAAAAAAGGGAAATTATTTTTGAGCATCAAGATATTCATTTAAAAAAAGGGAAATTATTTTGACTTTTTAAATTTTAGCAAAATATTTTAAATATAGTATTAAATTAATGTTATTTGTATTTTATAAATATATTTAGTAACTTATTCACCATATACCTACGAATACGAATCTAATAAATATCCCTAGCTTTGATTTAACCCTCTGTGATTAAGGAAATTCTGCTTAATATAATTAATTACAGGGCAGATGTGGAAGATCTGCTATGTATATGCATCAGTTGTCTACATTTGGCACAAATGGCTAACGTTAATTATGTGTTATATGAGTTTAATAATGTGTATGTATGTGTATTTAAAGCTAGGGATGTCTAGTGCCCAAAATCTTGGTATTTTCCCTTTCCATCCTAAAAATTGTAAAATACTTGTTGTAAATCTTTCTGGTGTATATCATTTTAAAATTAATAGATATTGCAATTTTTATGACACAGGAGACATATGTACTAGAATAAAACAAAGAAAAAAAAATTGAGGTGGTATTTAAACCACAACTTTTATGAGCCCATAATTATACAGCCATGCTATATCCCTATTTGAAAAATAAACTGCATTTTTATTCTAACATCAGTAACACAAACTTATTCTTTTGGCATCTGCCTTTTGAAATCTGGCTTGCTATCATCATTTTTTCTATTGCATGTTATACTGCCAATATGATATATGTTTGTAATTATCAAATAGAAAATTTGTCCAGCTTGTGGCTTGCATTGTTTTATTATGTTTAGCATTTTATAAATTATATAAAAAATATATTTGTGAGTATTCGCTATTCATTTTATAAAAATCTGCCAACTTTGTCATCTATATCACACTCTAAAATTTTTGCATACTCAAATGCAGTAAAACTTCACAAACTTAACTGCATATTGTTTCAGGTGGTTTTTGATTTTCTGTAGAACTGTTTATCTAAATGAAGTGATGTACAGTACCTAGATTTGTTTGTATTCTAAAATATATTCCTTACTTTGGAAGCTAAGCTTGTACTAGGCACTTTTCTGCTTGATAGGCATACACAGTTGCACTGGCCCTATTGATGGGTAATCACCAGAGAAGTTTCGGACATTGTGCATATGTAATATGTCATCATTTATATTGTAAACATACATATAAATAGGTAAATCTGAGAATACTGTATTTTCTTTTACTTTTGGATATCAGGATTCTTGGTATTATTGCTGTCATTGTATATCTGCGTAATAATTGATATTTTTCATTAAATTTCTTAATATGAAATTAGGATTTTGAAAAGGCATGAGATTATGCATATCGTGGATTCTATTCACAAATTTTTGTAGTGGTTAGTTGTACATTACAGATGCTTAAGATCAATTCTTTCAGTCAGAAATAGAGCTGCAATAACCACTAAGCAATCTAAGCATGTACTTCAGGGCATCAAGATAAGGGGGCACCATAAATAGTCCTTAGGTGTTCAGGAAAGGGGACACCAGTTTTAGTTAAACTAAAACAGAGAGAGAAGGAATGAAGAAAAAAGATAATGTGTAAAAAATATGTGAGGGCACCAAAATCTGTTAAGTGCTATTAAGGCTATGAAGGCTTTAATCAAAACTATATTTTAACATACTCCTGCCGTAATATTTTATGTATTTCATTATTTTGGTTTATTTATATCTTCCGAACAACAGTAAAAATGTAAGGAAAAAATTCCCTAATGTTTGTATATTTGTGTCTGTGTGTATGACATGATTTGGTTTTTGAAGTTAGAGATAATTAATGTTTTGTCAGTAAAATATTAAATGGGCTGTCTGTTTTCCCCCCTTCTAAGTTATCTTAGTAATTTTATTAAAATAGCAAAGCTAACATTAAGAAACAAATACAACACGTCTGCTGTACCTTACTGCTTATTTGTTTTATGAAAGACTGATCATAAAATCCAAATGTGTATTGAAAAAAGATAGTTTGGATTTAATATGGTCTAAATATTTCCTAAACATGTGGTAGTACATTAAAGTTGTTTGTACAGTCAAGAGTGTGAAACTTAACACCTTTGGTATTTTTTTTTTTTTTTTCATTGGAGAGTAACTTGTAATTTGCTTTTGATTACTCTTCAAAGTTAAATATTCTGTTGAATGAAATCGATGACGTTGCATATCATTTATATGAAATTATTAAATTTTCCATAATCATACCTTATTGTCATCTTGATTTCACAATCTCGATATGGGCAGAATGAAAATAAACACAAATCCTATTAGATTGAAATCATGCTTGCTTTATAATGACCTTAATTAAGGACAAGCTCCTTGATTTCTGGTTTTTAGGTGTCCAGATAGATAGTTTGAGATTTTAGTTAGAAATGGTTATAAATTAGTCATTAAATTAATGATTTTACATTAATCACTTTTAAAATTGTTAAAATGGAATTTCTCAAAATTGCATTAAAAATATTCACATTTGATACTATGTTTGCATTTAAGGAAATGTGCCAAAACCGCAGTTATCTAATGTAAAACATTATTCGGTTTAATATTCCTTACCACGACTATACGATGTGTTGCGGGTTGTTCCTATGATGTGTCCATTAAAAGAAGCTATGTAGGATGTGCAGTGGAGCGGAAATGACGTAGCTGTATTCATAACGGGTTCTTGGGAATTTGCCGCGTATTTGATGAATAGAAATAGGAGAGTTCAGATAAAAGACTCTCAAGCTGGAATTTTTTTTTTTTTTTTTTTTTTTTAACTTAAACAAATTGTATAGCAGTTTCCTTTGAAAAATCATTGAAGCCAAGAATGAAATTCATTAAAAACCACGCTACTAAATAAATAGTTTTGAATGGAAGAAAGGAACTTTGAAAAAATGAAATGTAGTATTATTAAGCACTTATTTTTCGACTAGATAGTCACATAGGTAAAGCCATCTGCTGTGCAGAAAAGCTTTCCTTTTTTGTTTTCATTCGCACCGCACTGTAATCACACGAACTCTTCGCTCTCTCCCGAGTTAATCTAATTTGTGAGAGACTGAAACCTGTTAATAAGGTTTCTTGAACTTCATTGAAAAATACCTTTTAAAAATCAGCTACATGCAGGTAGCTAAAAACTGAATTATAAAATAGTGAATTACTTTGAGTTAATTATCAATATACAAGCAACAAATATGTTCATTAGTAGCGAAAATTATCTTCAGATGGCGGAACGCCGCCATATTAGTATCACGTGATCGTTATAAGTAGAAACAGAAGTCTTCGGAATTTCGTGTA